CATACGTCGACGGGAGGAACTGCAGCCTATAATTCGATCCGTACGTCGAGCTATCACCGCGGCGGGTAATTAAAAGCATTGTCAGAGCGAAATACACGGACAGGCTAAAAGGGTTCGGCAGAATTCGCCGAGAGGAAAGACATTTTCGTTTCGTGTTTGAGTACGATATCGGATAATTACAAATCGCGAGTGAAATCTTAATGAATCCGCGAGTCACGTTGAGAAATGCAATGATCGCGACGTGCAACGAGCATTCAACATTGCAAGAGACAATTGTAAAGTATAATCAGGAATTTCTAATTATTTATTGACATTGCTCTTTACAAATTACATAATGTTTATAATCATTATATTTGTGAACATAATATATAATATATAATATATAATATATCTAATATATATATAATATAATATATATAATATATAATATAATATATCATATAATATAAATATTATATTATAATATATAATATTTAACTTGCTGGGCTATTTTATAAATATATAATTTTGTCAGAGAAATTTTATTTATCTGGGCTACTATTTACATTAAAAATATATAATAATATAAAAAATATAAGATATAGGTAAATAAAATATATATATGATAAATATTTAATAATTCTAAAAAAATATATATTTAATCTTACGCTCAAATAAATTAATATTTCATTTTTAAATAATTTCTTCAAAATCATTTTTAAATCATTAATCACATGTGTAATTGTCATATAATATATACATATGTGTCATATGATTTATATAACACGTAAGTCAATCTATTATTATTATTACCAGTATTAATTTAGAAAGACTATTCATTTTAAAAATGAAATAAATAAATAGTGATTCAGAAATTTACATTTATTCCTGTGTTTATAGATATTTATGTTTATACTTTGCATATATTATTGATAAATTCCAACTTTTTATTCAGAATCCAAAAATTATAAATATTAATTTTAAATTATAAATATTAATATTAATTCTAATTATAAATATTATAAATATATAAAATATATTTTTATTGTTGCGTAATTAAACATTACACAATTCTATTGTGAAGATTTGACAGTAGTCGTTTTCTTTGCCTCGAATTCACGCGGACACGCGACTTTTTATTCGCAAGGGGGATGAAAGTCGTGTCGTGCGGCGAGTGCTCGTGGACGAGGTTCTCTCTGAAAAGAGAGTGGAACGGGGGTGTTGGCAAATACGTAGGACGCATTCAGATCAGTCTCCCGGTAGGTCGGGGAAAAAGGGGAAAATTCAGCGAACGGGAACGAACGGAGGAAGTAGAAAAGGTTTTTCGGAGCGCGTCAGCAAGAGACATCAGAGGCCCCGCCATTTCCTCCGATCGAATACAAATGAAATACGTGCGAATGTATCGCTTTGTACTTCGCGGAGATCAATGCGTGAGAGAGGAAACTTCGTTTCAAAGCGTTCGGGGGCGCTGCGCCTTGTGGAATAATTAATGAACTCGTCGAGCTTCAAATCATTATCTTTTCCCGATGCAATTCGATTCATCATTGTGATATATAAGACTTTGGAATTTCTCGCCTTGTCTGCAATTTCATGTGTCAAAATATATCATATTTTCATTGATTTTTAATTCACTTTTAAAATCATTATAATGACATACCTAAAAAAAGATTTATTTTCTTGTAAAATAAATCATATATTAGTTAGTTAATTTTTGATTTTTTATAAAAATGTATTTGTTACATATAAAAATAAAAAAATTATTTTTTAGTATTCCATGAATTCCTTCTTTGATTATTAATTTTTATTTTTTTCTCAGAATTTATTAATTTCAAATTTTTTTCTCTCACTTATTTAAAATAAGGAATTTTATCTTTCCAAGACAAAAATAGCATTTTTTTATTACCATTCGCATTTTAGACACAAAATTGTTATCTAGATCTCCCTTGAAATTTTACGTTCTCGAAATAGAGAGAAGAATCAAATGTTATAAATGTAACGATGTCCCGAAGGATCTCTCGGGGCAGCTGGAAAACTCAGAATAAATATTGATACACGTCAAAGGGAACGTCGCGTGTAAATGACATTCCGAGATGAAGATCGCGAGATGCAGCGCGGCTCGTAATATACGTGAGACGGAAAATAGCGGCAATACTCCTGAGTGCCTCGGACGCAGCCAGCCTCCGGGGAGATCCAGCAACTGCGGGATAAGGATTTGCTTTCACAAGGGGAGAGAGAGACACTCGTGCGAATCCTACATACGGGAATGCATATGCAGGGAGCATAGCCATATCTAGGCGTATAGACATCGGGTTCTTATCAGGGCGCTCGAGATACGTAATAGAGATCTCTTTGGATACAACGTAGCAAAAATGTGAGAAAAAGAAAGATTTTCTTCTCTTACAATATTTAGCAAATCAAAGAATTTCGTTCTCTCAAATCTGGAAAAATTATTTTATGCCTGCCCATACAGCACAAAATATTACGAATGTTTTTAAAAATGTTTCTATAAAATATTGCATTAAAACACTTTAAAATGGTTTTAAGAATATTTTAAAATAATTTAAAATTTGATAATATTTTTAGAATATTTTTAAAAATTTTTAAAAATGTTCATTTCGCTCAAGTAATATTTTCTTAAATATTTCATACATATTTTTGAAATATTAATTTAAATCTATATATTCAAAAATATTTTTAACATAAAAAGCGGACATAGAAACATTTTAAAAATATTTTGTGCTATGTGGATGTTAAGGTGATCCTAAACGTTCTTGAGAAGTCTGTGATTTTCGTTCTGTTTTATCGACAAAATGTAAGGTTAGATAAACTATAAATCTATTTATTGGCTATACAGATTGTTTTTTATCTGAAATTAGAACGCTTCGCCTTTTGTTAATATTAATACTTTAATTTGTACAGGAAAAAGACTTATCAATCTGTATAGCCAATCCGTATAGTTAATAAATAGATTTATAGTTTATCTAACCTCACATTTTGTTGATTAAACAGGAAGGAAACTTAGATTAGCTTAGGATCCCTTAATATATTCAATAATATATTGAATATTTTATATATATACAATAAAATATTCAATATTTTATCAATATATATATATAAATTAAATGGTACGGTATATATAATTAAATAATTGAAAAATAATTAAGTACAAAAGAATATTAATATCTTTTAAATCTTAAATACTGACTGAAAATAAAATTCATTAACATAATCTCCAATGAAGGCAGTTCATTAAAACAGATTATTACAATGTAAAATAATTATGTGACATTTAAATATTGAATATTTTAAATAAACCAAAAAGAAAACAGCAACAAATAAATGTCAAAAACAAAATATATTTTATAAGAATTATATGGTAAGCAAGTAAAATCGCATCTATATTAAGATAATTAAAAATAATTAATTATGCCTGAAAAATATTAGAATCTTTTAAATTTGACAACATTGACTGAAAATAAAATTCATTGAGATGTAATTTTATTACAATAACAAAAGCATTTCTTTAAAAGCGGATTATTAAAACAATTATGTCTCGAGCAGGACATCAACTGTCAAACGAAGCATCGCAAGAAAAAAGGACTGTTCCAAGGTCCTGGAACGATCATGGTCGCTTATCGAACTTGAAATATCGTCAAGTCGAGGGTGCCGGGATCGCCTCGACACACTGCTGGTCTCTCTTCGAGGGTCCCATATAGCCCATATCCCCTTCCTAGATCAATAATACCATTTCCGTGGCCGGCGCATGCGCTCCGCGGTATTTCTCGTTACAACCCCCATACGCGAACTGGTTTCCACCCCCGTTGAGCCGCGTTCATGACGCTGCGTACCCCCATGCAACATTCATAGCGCCATCAATATTATACGCGCGAAATAATAACGTGTACATTTATTATGAGGGGATCGGCTTTCCTCGCGAAGACCGATATAAAAAAAAAAAAGGATCCGCGCTCTCACACAGATCACGATAAATATGCGTGTAAACTGTTATGCAAATCGATCGGCGAGGGGTCGTGAGAAAAGATGGATCGGTGTGTTCAATTTGTCCAGTGATCGATCAGTGAGAAAATTAGCTGTAAGCAGTACGTAAATAAAGAATACTTTGTTTTCAATTACTTAAGGAATTATCCAGGAAAATTATTTTAAGAAATAATAATGTAATCGTACATTTGATTGTGGCGAATTTCTTAGTGGATAACTTCTTAAGCGATTGAGTGCAAAATATTCTTATTTCTTTTCGTTATGGATTTAATAATTATTTATACAAATTTGTGCAAAAATTTATTAATTAAAATTTCTTTATTAAAAAATTTAGAAATTTATTCTATTAAAAATTTGCAATGTATATTTTATCAATACGCAACTATTGAATGGATTAAATATTCAATTATTATATATTTAACAATTGTTTATTTATTATACGAATTTGCGTATAATTTAATTAAAGAATTTGTTATTAAAGAATTCTTTATTTCAAAAATTTAAAAACTTTTAAGAATTTGTAATGCATTCTATTAATCCGCAAACTATCGAATGTGGATTAAATATTTAAATTTCCTGTCTTTATCAAAATAATGTTGGATCTGATAATTGCCGAATATTTGCATTGCATAGATAAATGAATACAATTGCATGAATAAATTGCATAAATAAGAATGCTTAAATAACAAAATTACGTCTGATGATGTTCATAAACAGACGCAAGGGATCTCAACTAAAAGTTTAAGTTCGTGAGTTAATATTTAATGATTATAGATCAGATTAAAAAGCGCATATCATGGTTATTTAAATCATAAAAGATGTGTATTAAGTTTACGTTAACGCGACATAAAATACAAATTGCAAAAGATATAAATACGTTGCTCTGAAAAATAATTTACAATACAATCTTGTCTCTTATCGTAATAACGTCATTCTGCTTATCGCATACTAGTGCCAAGCTTACGAAACAGTGGGTTCACGCTAAAAAATCAATTTTAATTTTATCGCATAGAGAGATAACGGAAGCAGAGCGAGCAATTGCTCCGAAGTCAACTGTTTCCGAGTATCGGCTTCACTGTCGCTCGATCTCTTAGTTTCAGTTAGAACTGTCAGTGTTGGAATACTTTGGTTACACAACAACGCAAATATAATCACTATATTTGGCATATATGTTTTCGTGGCTAAGAACGTGATTAAGAATCATTTTTGTTTCGGAAGACAATTTGTCTCTTCTTTCCATCATGTTTCAACGAATGTCAAAAGCTCTGTTAACCAAAGAGATGAGAGATTATTTATTGAGGTAATGTGTTTTTCACTCAACGTATACATGTGTAACAAATTGACTTAAAAGCGTCATATATGATACTATTATGTAACAAGCAGTGTTTCACTTTTATAAAAAATTTTACTAGTAATTGTTACTTTTTTTCTAGATATTGAGGTTTTTTGTCTGTCAATATAATTGTTTATAATATTTTTTTATTTTTAATTACTGAATATAAATATTATTTCTGAATTTTATTTTATATTTAAAATTTTTATCTAAATTTTATTTTATATTTATAAATAATATTATATTATTTATAAATTATTATTAAAAAAATAATCATGACTGAAATATACATTTGTATTGCTTCCTTTCTTGTTCTTTCTTTCTGGGATTGCAATTGGTATTTTAAAATCCATCATAATTTATAAAAAAAAATTACTTTTTAAAGCACTCATTTCTGGGGCCCGGTGTTCAACTGGGCGATACCCATAGCGACTATATCCGACGCACGAAAGCATCCGAAAATCATTAGCGGCAAAATGACAGTAGGTGAGTTCGACAAATAGCTCTATCGGCGGACCTTTCAAAGAATTCATTCTCTATCTCACATATAATAATAGTGAAAAGAGAGAGAAAGGAAGGTCCGAAAAAGGCCTCAAAATAATTACTGCTCAAGCGCAGCTAAAATTCTTTTATTTTGTAAATAAATGATTGCTGCAATTAATTGTTGGAAAATATTTTTAATTTTTTATGTAATATTGATTTATTTCCTTCCCGCCTAAAATACATATTTTAGAATATAATCTTTATAGAACTCACATTCTAAAAATTCCTATTTAATATAATAATTAAATAAAATAGATGATCAAACATCTTTTTATATATATACATTTTCTATCTATATATAATTATTTACTAAATATTGTATATTGTATTATATTATATATTATATATTATATATTATATATTATATATTAAAATATATACAATTATATATTAATAATTATATATGTATATACAATTATATTATTTTATATGCTATTACTTTTTTAGCTTAATTTTACAAGAAATGATAAATAAATTACGGATATAAATTCATGTTAATAAAAATATACTTTTCATTGATTTAATCTCTTTTCCAAATTTTCAGCCTTGACCCTGTATTCGATGGGGTTCATGCGATTCGCTTTCAAAGTAAAACCGCGAAATTTGTTGCTGTTCGCGTGCCACATCGCTAACGTCGGAGCCCAACTCACGCAAGGTTACAGATTTCTCGACTATCACTATATTCAACAGAAAGAGCCCGATCAGAAGGAATGACGTAGGTAATCATTAGCTTTGCGAAAAAATTATCTGCGAATGTGGTTGCGAGTGCAAAATGATGCAAAATTAAAATAAAATCTGTTTCTTCATATTTCACAAACTAGAAGGTAATGAAAAGTGACAATTAAATATGTATATAGCAAAATGACAAAATAATATAATTCCGATGGAGAGACGTCGCAACTAACTTTTTCTAAACAATAAATTATAAATTATAAATTTAGGGCGTATAAAAAAATGTCAAAGGAGATAAAAAGAAACTCCTTCAATTTTTTTTCATTCTTGCATCATCATGTGTGTAAATTATATGCGCGAATATATGTATGTATAAATAAAATATTATTATAAATATATAAATATGTTCTCTCCGTTATCGGAGCATCTTAGCAACGCTCTGATAATCAAACCTCATCGTTGCTCAACAGTGTTTTATTTCAACAATTTAGATTTATGCAAACAATAGCGCTGCATTAGATTTAACTACTGCAAATTATTAAAAAAACGTGCGCGCGCGCATGTAATATATTGCGGGTACGTAAAATCTCCCGCTCGAGGGAGTCTGGCGGCCCGCGCAATGTGGTGCGCATACATATATATATATATATATATATATATATATATATATATATATCCCGCTTATTAAGTTATTCCGTTATTATTCCTGCGGAATAATTGTAGCAAGGCGGTTGTTTACGATTCAGCAATCGCGTGCTCCAACGACCCAAGGTACACGCTCCGAGATATATGTATACGTGTAACGTCTTACTCCTTTGTAAAAATTATGTATCTTTTCTCGATCATAACCGGAATGATAAGATTCAACGTAAGTTTTTCTCCGAGTCGAGAGATTACTTGATATTTACGACCACTGTTTATAAATATCGCAAAAGGCTTTTATACACCTCGTTTATACAGCACATTTATTCCACTCGCGGTTGCAGCGATTAATAAATTTGGAATTCATATGAATTTAGCAAAATTGTCTCATCTTCCTTTTACATATTTTTTTATTTTATTATTATATATTATACACTGTCGCTCAAAAGTATTTGCCTACCTAGGCAAATTGTGTTTAAATGACTATAAATCAAATGATTATAAATGACTATAAATTGATGACTATAAATGACTATAAATTAAATGACTATAAATTAAACGACTATAAATTAAATGACTATAAATTAAACGACGATAAATTAAATGACTATAAAATAACTATAAATTAAGTGGCTATATATGACTATAAGTTAATGACTATAAATTAATGACTATAAATGACTATAAATAACTATAAATTAATGACTATAAATTAATGACTATAAATGACTATAAATGACTAAAATTTGTCTATTCTCTATTGTACATATATATACATATATATACATATATATATATATATGTACATATATATTATTTTATTATTATATAAATTCTTTTGTCTTTTTCGAGGGGGAAATAATTTTACTGAATTTTCCAAAAACGTATAAAAAAATTATCTTGTTTTATATCTTATTCCTCAAGCTCTTTTTCCTACATCATCTTCTTCTCTTTCTTCGTCTATCGTTACTCTTCTGATCGTATTCGAAGGGCACGAGTTTATTCGACTCGGCCCGAAATTCGGCAATACAAACGAATGTACAAGGAGAGCAATAATTTTCTAGGGTAGCCTCTCTTTCTCTCTCTCTCTCTTTCTCTCTCGCATGATACTACAGGGGGCCCCGAGGGGGTGAAAGGGGGAGGGGTACGGCATGGTCGGCACTCGATCGTACTGGGGTCATTTTATGGGATCTGGCACGGATCAGACGCACGAATCTATCCTTCGGTTTTTCCGAATGCTAAGCCGCGCCGTCTTTCTCTCTCCAATATATTTTCCTTTTACCTCACTCTCTCTCTCTCACTCTCTCTCTCTCTTTTCGTATCTCTCTAGTCCTGCTCAGGGATATAAAATCCACCCCCGACTGGCTGAATAAATATATATGGCCTTATTAGCCCTGCTTGGCGTCGATCAAGCGGCACGCTCCGCTTGCATGATGAAAATGTTTCGAGTGACGTCATACGATAATTTCCCTATCGCTCGTTTTTATTCTCAATAAGTAAATTATTAATTTCCATGGATAGTTTACATCTTTAAGAAATTTTATACGATAATTTTCATCTTTAAAAAATTAATCGAGTAACGTCATGCGACAATTTCCCTACCGCTCGTTTTTATTCTCAATAAATAAATTATTAATTTCCATGGATAGTTTACATCTTTAAGTAATTTATAAAATTTTACTTGACAGTTTACATCTTTAAAAAAATTGATAAAAGTTTATTTTAAAAATGATGAAATTTAACTTTATTTTAAAAAGTCGATAAAATTATATATATATACCTATAAAAACGTTATGTATTTCATATAAAAAAATTGACATAGGTAATCTATAAATTTTACTTGACAGTTTACATCTTTAAAAAAAGTTGATAAAATTTTATTTTAAAATTGATGAAATTTAACTTTATTTTAAAAAATCGATAAAATCATATATATACTCGTATATATACCTATAAAAACGTTATGTATTTCGTATAAAAAAATTGACATAAGTGATCTATAAAATTTCACTTGACAATTTACATCTTTGAAAAAAATTGATAAAATTTTATTATTTAAAAATTGATGAAATTTAACCTGATTTAAAATAGTGGACAAAATTATATGTTTCAGAAAACGTGATGTGCTTCGTATAAAAAAAAATGAGCATAATCCTAAATCTATCTAAAGATCGCTTCTTAAGCTTCCAACTCTCGATAAGATAAATCTGAAACGTTTCTTCATTCATGTTCTTCGGGTCCTGCGGGTTTTGTCGAGTCCGCGCGGAAACAATCGCAGAATCGGCCGCGAAGGAGATGAAAGAGAGGACGAGGAGCGACAGGACGAGGTCCTGCGGGACTGATTTCACAAACAAATGCCGCCGATTGAATCCTGGCATGTCGCAAGATGGATCGTTCTCTTTGAATCACAGATTACCGGCCGTCTCTCTGTCTTCTCGTCTCTTTCGCTTTCTCCCTTTACATCCGTATCTCTCTTATTTCGCCACTTCTCGTCCTTCGCGGAGGCGCCTCCACCTCTTCGTTGATCGGTTCCCTTCCAGCTCGCCAATTTGCCACATGCCTACGCAGCTGCGACTACCCTCTTCTCTTTCTCTCTGTCTTGCTCTTTCGTTACTGCTATCTCGGATCTTACGTCAACTGGGCGGAATTGCAAAATATCGCGACATCGACGGATTACAAAAGACACCTGCGTCGATCGAAGTCGATAGACTTGAAAAAAATATACTTGACGCAACTAATGATACATCCGCGTTATTAAATACATTTTTGATACATACGATAATTGAAATTGATAGTTTATTGATCGATGTAATCAATGCTTCATTTTTCAATGTAGGGTTGGTATCCAGGTACGTGTTGTGCTTGGCAAGGGAAATTCAAACAATTCTGAAACTTTGTATACGAGTAGTTCATCCGTAACACAACATTATTTTTTATTCGTGCCGAAGGGATGAAATATGGAAAAAATAATTTTTTTATAAATTATTAATCCTCAAATGTTATTTTTTTCAAAATTTTATTAACGTGGTTAAGTAGAGGTGTTTTTACTGTAAAACTTTTATCTAAAACATTTTTTGAGATCTTAAATAATTTTCGAGATATATCGAGAGAAACAAAAAGCCATTCTACTTATAAGGGTGATTTCTCTCCTTTAGACTGTAATTAAGAACGAATAAAAAATAGTTTTATGTTACGGATGAATTACTCTACTTGTACACGAAGTTTCAGAATTTTGTGAATTTCCGGGTTGCCTAACTTCCCTTATCTGATGATTTAAAAATTAGCTTGCTTTAAATATATCTAAATAAAAGATAAATTTATATGACGATTCGTCTAGATAACTTCCAGATAATATTATTTTTGAAGACCGCTTATGTAAACACGTTTGATTAAAAACATGTAAACTGTATAAAAGGGATATAAAAATATATTTATATTTTTATTGCTTACTGCTTAAATTCTGCTACTTAAAAAATATTTAAGTATTTTCATGTGCTATGACTCTAAACCAAATTATCTGAACATTATTCTAGATAATTTAATAAAGATAAGATGATATATAATTTTATTTGGATAACAATAAACACTGCCAGGTACACTGAAAAAAATTATTAAATTAATAAATATTTGTTTCAAAACAAATAAATATTATTAAAAACTAATTTAAAATTCAAAATAAAAATAAAAATAAAAATAAAAATAAAAAATAAAAATAAATAATAAATAAAAAGCTCGTGTACATTAAACAAATTATCAAAACATAAATTGATAATAGGCCAACTGAACGAGCAAAAATAAATTATAAGATCTTATTTATTTATTACAACATATCACTATTAAAAAACCCCGCAAAGGGGCCTATTATCAATTTATGTTTTAATAATTTAAATATTATTAGTCTCAAATAAATAATTTATTTGGTAATATTGAAATAAATACTTATTCGAATTCAATAAATTTTTTCAGTGTAACCAACTGTATGTTTTCCAAAGATCTTTATATTTTGTTTCGGATTTGAAAAAAAAGTTTCAACACACTTTCGACATTTAAAGTCGGGTACCCGTTCATTGACAGAAGGGTTAAAAATAATATAATAAATAGCAAATATATGCGGCATTATCATGGCGAGCAGAAAGAAGCGCATTTTGGGAAGACAAACGGAGCATCACTAATTCGATCGAAATCGCGCGAAAGACGGCGCTTTCTGGAACACAATCGGGGAAGAAGGTTTCGGTCCCGAAATAATTCGATGAAGAGGAAAAGAGCGCCGCCGCAAGCGAAATGAACTGTAAAGCAGAATGCTGGGATTGTAGAGTCGCCTCCGAGGCTCCATGAACTGCGAGAGATCGAGAACGGGGAAAAAAAAAGGAAAAAGAGAGAAAATCCTCGAGGGGACGCGACCCTTCTGTCCGAGTTTTCTCTCTCTTTCTCTCCGCGGACGATATCTTTAAATTAAGTGCGTCAGCTTATGACGCCCATGTAAAATTTCGCAGGGTGGATTTTCGATTCGCGCGTGCACCGAAGGAGGAAAGACTTCCCTGAAATGCGTGGCGAATGCGCATGTTGCCGGAGGGACCCCGAGGGTGAAATGAATCAAGCGCACCCTCACCTCATGCAGGACATACATTAGGCTGACACCGGACTTACCATTCGGAATGCTGACGATTTCTTATGTCGGGGGAGACGAGAAGGAACAAGAGTATGTCTCTGCGAAATTGTGGAAATATTTCGTGAGCAAGGGTTCTTTCTCTCTATGGCGCCAGCCATAATTATTAAGAGTTTCCATATTTCTGATTTTCTATAAATGTAATGATATGGATTATGATATTTCACGAAAATAAAAAAGAAACTAAAGAGAACAATTTCAATCTTCTTTAAATTTACTATATAATTTTGTAAATAATTTTGTGTTA